AAAGAAAGAAAGAACTGATTATCAAACCATGAGTGAAGCTTTCCTGCTTGAGTGCAGGTTACTCCTTTCTGTTTATCTGAAGCCTTTTTTCAGCTTAACACTTACTTAACGATTTTGTTGTCATGAGAATTGACAGATTTACAGGAGGTAAAGGTTAGATTTGTACTGGGGGAAGATTGAGTTCTAACATTAATTAATACACAAATTATGTGGTTCCTGTGGTAGCACATGATGTCATAGATATAGCAAATATTTTAAGATTATAAGACATCAACATTTTGAGAAAATATTTGGGACCATTTACAAACTTGCATTCTTGGCATTGTTAGGTAAATTTGCCCTAAGACATTCACTGGGATCCTAAAGTCACTCTAAGCAGAAGTCTTTGGATTTGATGATTATAAATTCATTGGCAATCTCAGAAGAAATAGTATTAGCAGTATGGTGGGTGAGTTTCTTGTAGATACTCAGCAAGTTTAAGATACCCCAGTTCTAGAAGGCAGTACCCTAGGAATTTTGGGCCAAAGCTAGATGATAAACCTCACTTCTTGGTGGGAGCATTACTCGCTTCTGGGTGCTTGAAGGAAGGTGCTTAGCTCTGCAGCTCCAGTGACTCTACTGGGTGTTTGTTGTGGTGGTACAGGGACCCATTAGGATGCTGTGAGAAGGGTTCTGAGTTAGTCTGGGTCGGGATTGTTCTAACAGAATTCTGGAGGGTGGATTTAGTAGGGGATCAGTGGGCAGTGTGTTTTCTAACCCTGCAGATAAACCCATCTCAGGACCCTAGGAGATGAGCTCCATTTTGGATCGCCTGGCAGTTTGGCCATGATGAATGGAGACCAAGACATTTAGCTCCTCATTGCAGCAACTTGCTGTGCTGTTAGGAGCTCTGCAGACATTTCCAGGCCTCCTGTGGTCCTAGAAGCAGAGCAGGATATAGATTACTGATAATATCAGAAAAGAGTCAGCCCAGCAGGGCCACGGCATGGGGGTGGAGGACCATCCTGGGGCGGTTAGGGGTCAGAGATGCCAGCTGTCTCGGGCTGACGCATGGCAGGACTTGACACTGCAACACCCGGTCATCAGCATCTCATCAAACCCCAAAGACACTCAGTGGCCAAGCACAGCCGGCCAAGGGGCGGTTCCTGCCCATCAGTAAAAAGGCCCCTTGAAGCACAAGCCTGTCTGCTCCTGAGAGGACATGGAATCTTAGGAAGGGTACTGTTAAGAGAAGAATGGAACTCATCCGCATCACAACGGGAGGGCTAGGAATCCTGCAGGAGACAGAATTTTCTGACAGGCAGCAGATAGAATTTTCTGACAGAAATTTCTGACAGTTGTGGAAAATCCTAAAATGAGCTGCCAATATAGTGACTCTGCTTTCCTCTTAAGACCTTGTAAAAGAGGTCTGCCTCAAGCAGAGTTGAAGGTGGGAGCTGACCCGTTCCAAAGCAAAGGCAACGTGGACTGGCCACTGGACGGCCCCAGGGGCAGGAAGCTGGGACCTTGTAGTCTCTGATGAGGGGCGATGATGTCCACCACCTTCCTGACAGGACCATGGTTTCTCAGGCCTCTGGACACTACAACTCTGATTTGCCCCAGGTTTCATCTTCCTGTTAGGATCCCTTCCTAATAGCTCCAGAGGAAGATGACTCTGTTCATCCATCAGGCTAGGCTGGGGAGAGGGAAGGAGTCTGTAGGGCAGCAAAAATGGCCTGTCACTGAGAAGCTTCTGCCGCCATCCAGGTGCCTTGGCCATGTTTGGCGGGGAGAACCTGCGGCATGGAGGCACCCCTGAGATGGAGCCGCAGTTAAGAGCTGGCCAGGATGTAAGCATGGCCCACTGGCTTCCCAAGTCCCAAAGTCTTTGTCCCTTCTCCCCAGTTCACGTTCAGAGATTCGCCTGGGCCGCTCTGAAAGCCTCAAGGGCCGGGAAGAGATGAAACGTTCTCGAAAAGCAGAGAATGTGCCCCGCTCTCGCAGTGATGTTGACATGGATGCTGCCGCAGAGGCTACTCGCCTGCACCAGTCGGCCTCGTCTTCCGCCTCCAGCCTCTCCACCAGGTGGGGAGGGCTACAGTGGCTGCACCCATGGTCATTTTGGGGGGTGGGCAAGGATAGAGGGTTGCTGAGGGTTGACATTCCCTCCACAGGTCTCTTGAGAACCCAACCCCTCCTTTCACTCCCAAAATGGGCCGCAGGTAAGTGATGGGCATGGTGGTGCCTCTGTTTGGTGTCTCTGTGTCCCAACCACACTTAGCTGCTCTCTCACCTGCAAGGGGCTGGTTGGGTGGGTGTCTCCTCTTCTGGGCCCACTGGTTTCCCATGTGCATGGGGCAAGCAGGTTGGGCAGGAGAGGGAGGGCCAAACCCCCTGTGTGAGTTCTTCCTCCTGAGTGAAGCTGAGCTGCCTGTTTTCCCCTAGGAGCATTGAGTCCCCCAGCTTGGGGTTCTGCACAGATGCCCTCCTTCCCCACCTCCTAGAGGATGATCTGGGCCAGCTATCTGACCTGGAGCCAGAGCCAGATGCCCAAAATTGGCAGCATACAGTGGGCAAGGATGTGGTGGCTGGGCTAACCCAGAGGGAGATTGACCGGCAAGAGGTCATCAATGGTGAGAATGGGCCCTACTGCCCGCAGCTCTGCTCACACAC